AAAGGTCCCATGTCATGGCCATTTCTACTGATCATAATTCCATTGTTGAGGTCTACTAGAATAGATTTATATTGTGCAATATTCCAAACTCACTTTGGTTTCTCATACAGCATCTCTGTAAACTACGTGTATTCACTGAATTTCACTCTCTGCCTTTAACGGCTCGTTGTAGCTCCAATAGCTCCAGCCCCCACCCTCCCTGTGAGCACAGTGTGCTCTGATTGGTCGGGACGTTGTGAATCACGCTGAGCTCCGTGGAGGTGTGGTTTCCTTGTTTAGTGATACACAGCCAAACTCACCCTGAGCACACACAAAGCCACAGCCGAAATAAAAACAATAAGTGTGGCTTGATATTGAGTAAGAAAAAGGTTGATAAACGCTGTGAGAATGGGTCTGCACAGAGAATTTCGCCGCGATCCCAACTGTCTGTTATCAGCCTGCAGCCAGGGAGGAGAGATCAGCAGAGCTGCCTGCACTGAGTGTGTGTGTGAGGAAGTCCGTGGATTGGTCAATTTGGACCAATCAGCGGGGGCTTAACGTAACGGCTCCGCGGACGTAACGTAACGGCTCCACGGATTGGCCCATTTGCGGCCAATCCGGCTACTGGGTGCTTCTACGACACAGCACCCAGGAAGTAAACAATGGACAGTGACGTATCTCCAACGAGGCGTTTTGGGGAGGTATTTTCTGTGTTAGAGTTTTACTCTCTACAGGGTGTACTTTGAGGGTTTTGACTCTGAAGACCGTTTACAAGCATGAAAACCTTCATAACACACAAGGGGACGGGTAATAACCGGAAAAGCATGACATGGGACCTTTAATGTGTGTATTACAGCTGGTAGAAGTGAAGCTAAATGAATTACATTGCAAAGTGCAGCTGGATATTTTAACTATATGTCAATGTTTATTTATTCATTTTATGAATTTAATGAGTCATTTAATCTTTAAAGTACATCCAAAAAGAACAAAACTAAAAAAGGTGCAAAATAGACGTAGTTAGTAGCGTAATAGATTAGATTACTTTATTGTCATTACAAAATGCAAGCACAGTGTAACGAAATGAAGGAGGGTCTAACCAGAGTGCAAAACAGTCAGTTATATAAACAATTATCAGAAGTATGTACAAAATAAATGAGACAAAAATAAAGGTAAATAGATGGGAAATTTATAAATAAGAATAAATATACAGATAATAATAAAATCAGTGAATACAGTACTGTATATAAAACAGTAATGTACAAGGATAATTGCGCTTCAGCACACAACAACAACTAGGCAGTATGGAACAGCGTGGGGTTCATTGAAAGTAATGGGAGGGAAACTACCTTCAAAAATGTGCCTGAATACAAACTTGTTTGGATGTATTCACCGTATTGCACATCGTAATGGTTCAAACTAATTGAATTGATTTCTGCTTAGTCTTCACAATCTAAAATGTAATTATTTCGAAATTGCAATTTAGCGTGCGTTTGTGAATGCTAAGGAAATTAAATCAATCAGAATCAGAAACAGGATTATTACCAGGTAGGTTGACACGTACGAGGACTTTGACTTGGTGTCGTGGGGCATACATAAGTAAAACAAGAATAAAAAAACGCAGATAGAGAACTATTTTAAGAACACTGTAATAACATTACAAAAAAATAAGAAATAATATAGTAAAATATAAAATAAAGCAGTAATTTACATTGAAATAGAATGCAATCAAATATATGCAGTAAGCAAACCACGTCGTCCCTTTCTCAATCTTGATCTTTGCTGTCACACTTAAATAACTAAAAGAGCATGCTTGGAAACAAACATCTCTTTGGGAACAGAACAATGCGGCCGAGCATCAAACACTTGCATGTGAAGCTGGGAGTTAATGTCGGGGATGACTGGGTCAGCTGATGGGTCACGGGGTCTTTCGCACCATGTGTGTCTGCTTGGCTCTGCCGGCCCCTAAAGCTGCCGGTCAGAACGTGACCTTAACAAACTCCTTTAGGCTTAGTGGGGTGTAAGGTTAATGGGACGGGAGGATGGGGGTTAATCCTGAGTCAGGTGGTTCCTCACAAGACCGAGTGCAGCAGATCGAGGAGAGGAAGGCAGCGTAGTGTGTGTGTCTAATGAGAAACTGCGTCAGAAAGTGACAGCAGAGCAAGTGCGTCAGGAGAGCAACCACTTCAGAAGAAAGGGGCTTTCCTCTGGCAGTCATAGACACTTATACTTGCTCATAGGTTATGAGGTTATGATGCCACCAAATAAACAATCAGGCAATTTCATTTCTGTTTTTTATTTCCACAGAGATTGTTTGGTTGAATCCACTGTGACGTGAAAAGCCAGAATTGACGAGCGTGTTTGTCGTTTCGTTTGTTTAGCGTCCAACGCGAGTACTTATTTGTTGAGATCTCAAAAATGTTTTTTCCACCATATCTTTGCTTCATTTTTCATTTTCAGTCTTTATTTCGAACAGATTAAAAAATAATAAAAAATGTGAAAAACAGAATACCGTATTGTTAAATACAGTATTTATCCACATTTATGGTAATATTTGTATATTCAACAAAAAAACAAAAAAAAGTCTTCATATTAATAATAATAATAAATCATATGTGTCCGAAAGGGAGTAGGAGCAAACCTGCTACAGCTTTCTTTATTTTAAATCAGTTTAATTGCACTGTCTGACATCCTGTTTTGGGATTTAATATTAGAAAAAATAACCGACACAAGATTATAGTACAGTATAATACACATATAGTTTATGATGAGAGGTCAATCAATCCATTCATTTAAATGAATTATTTAGGATTAATAGAAACAAACATATCAATGCACTTCTATATGCATGGAAAATATATATTTTTTATAATTTATTAAGCTAATAAACCTGTTAATTTGACAATCCTAAAATAAAATAAATAAAACATAATCAACATTTTTTTAATAAAACCAAATAAATAAATCTGAAATATAAGGAAACACTTTTTTCTTTGATGATATAATAACTTTTTGCATTGACATTCTTTAAGGAGATATCCTCACACTGCTGATTAACAAAAGCATGCGGCTTGGTCCCGCTCTGCCTATCATGAGCTGTGTGTGCTTAATGATTAAAGCAAGGCATGGCTGCTTCGGGGGATTAACACATTTGATGCCAATGGCAGACTCGGCCTGAATGCTAATTTTCCATTCACAAAATTGATGTGATAATACTTTGGAAGGATTCAAGGTCACGGAGGCCAGGAATGACATAATGCAGTCCTGAGAGAAGAGAGGTAAAAAAAACACACTGCCCGTCGCTGGTGAAGAAAAACAAAAAGCTGCAGCGATAAATTATTTCTCAAAACCGTAAAGCTGATATCTGGAGCCTCAGCGCCTGCAGTGCTGTTAGCAGTGAAGGTTAACCTCAGTGGAGACCACAGCAGCTGATAGTGTGGCACGGTGCGTCTGCATGTGTTGTTTCTGAAGCAGGAATGGTTTCCCACAGAGGTCAAAGAGGTTTATTTTGAAAACAGGGGGGCTTGAAAAATGGAGGATTTGTTCACAGAAAGCATATTTTATTTAACATGTAAGGATTCATGTGCAGGGTTATCAAGGTCCCTCCGCTTCACGTTTGATTTGAAGGTTTTCTTTTTTATTAATGACCGCCTCGTTGCACATTATCCTGAGTATTACACAGCCTCATACTAAATAAACCAACCACTTGACTCCCAATATTAATAGAACATTATTTTATTGTCCTAAAAAGTATCTCAGTGCTTCCACTAAAAAGCAAAGTCTTTAAAATGGCGGCAGCCCTTATTGAGGTTTTGTGTAACTGTTCCAAGTCTGTTCACATATTCTTTTCCACTACCATACCGTGTTGCTGTTAGTGTTGACCTGTCTGTCTTCTTCTGGTGATTTCTCTGACGCCCAGCACCTCTTTCCCACTCTGCATTGTCCCTCCTTAGCAACAGTGATTGTTTTTGCTTAGCAGCAGCAGTGTGTTATCAAGTATTACCAACCTCTGTCCAAATTGACCAATCAGAATCGACTATTGAACTAAGCCGTGTAATTCGACCCTATAATGGCCCCTGCTGTGTAGATGTGAAGGTATTGAATGTGTGTAGGACTTTGAAACAGATCAATGTGTGTGACGTCATCCTTACCCGCATCATTTCGGCCACGTAGCTCTCCGGGCCGGTGTACTCTGTGGAGTCCTTCACCTTCACTAGGACTATGAAGAACAAGTAGTGCCACATGTTGTGCTCCACTTTGATGTGTTCTTCGAAGGTGACCGTCTTATTGTCAAACTTGTCTCTCTCCAATCCTAAAAAAATCACAAGGATACACCACAGTCACACACAAAACACACCACACATCCCAAATAAACACTGTGAAGAAACACTCTTTGTGTCGCAACATGATGTAACCGCTCTTGTGATCTAAACGAGGATGACTAACTGGAATTGGCTCACAAGGGAATGGACGCACAGAACAGGTCAGGTGAGTTCGGCCGTCTGTCACACCAAATCCATTTAATCCTTTTTACGCTCTTGTTTTTTGCTTTTGCAGCAAAACGGAATAACCCTTAATGGTGTTGCCCAACTCAAAGAGATGTTAGTTCAATGAGTAGCCAATGGGTGACTGTTTATTGACTGATGAGGCCAGTGTCTGTGTACAGTCTAACATGGTCAAGACCCATCATGCAACAGGAAGAAACACTCCTCCGCAGCAGCAGAAGCGGCGGCACGGTAGCAGCAGCACTGCCATGACGAAACATTCATTCTGGGAAGAGGAGGCGTTTCGGTGTTTATGCTGCTCGGAAAAAAAAGCCCCCATGCTTCACAGCAAACATCACGCTCACTAAAGTGTCGTCTCAGAGCGGACCCCTCCTTTGAGTCAAACCTCAGCATTCACACCTGCTGATGACACTGCACAGATACACAGTTTTGCTTCCCGCTTTGACTCGAATGTATCACGGTTGGTGTTTCTGCCTTATTACATTCTAAGAAGGGATTGAAGAGTGATGATTAAAATAGGTGCCAAGGGTCGTGAGGCACTTCTGAAGTTGACGAACCACAGTGTCGGTTGTTACTTGACGAGTAGCCAGAATATATTTAATGATAGAAAAGGTGACAGCGGTTATATGATCTAACAACTATATTTTGACCATGCAGAATAGCAGTTCTTTTTATTTCCCTCACCGCAAATGAAACAGGTTGTCTTTAAGATTTCCTCTTTCTTCTGCTTCTCACTCCTCAGGTCGGCAAATGTGTCGATGATGACACCAAAGATGAGGTTGAGGACGATGATGATGACCATGAAGAAGAAGAGCATGTCGTAGATCACCCGGGCTGCGAAAAGAGGCTCCTGTTGGAGAGAAACGGGAGAAGATGTGTTAGAAGGACAAGATAGATGAGCTGGTGTTACCCAGTCATTAGTCATCATGTATCACATCGACCGTCAAGCACATTTTAAGCACATTTTTTTAAAAATGTAACAAATTTTTTTTTTGACAAAAACAACAAATGCATATATACAAATTGAATAAATTAATGTTTTTAAAAAAAAAAAATTTTAGTCAGTTTATTGAACATGTCAGAAACAAAAACATACAACAATAATATATATATATATTCTCTTTTTTTTTTTTTTCTTTTTCCTTCTCACTCAAATTAATAATTATAACAAAGTACAAAAAAAAAAAAAAAAAATAATAATAATAATAGCTCTCAAACATGGAAAGTAAAAAAGGGGGGGAATGGGCTATGCTTCATACATTTCTGTAATTCGCTAGTAAGCAGAGAAGTAGAAGTAAAGGTTTGAAAATCAAAAAGTCGCACTGGCCATTTCCCCCATGCTATGTTTCCAAGTTTCACGCTATCCAAAGACAAAGCTAAGTTATTGTAATGATTCGAACGCATGAGCAGTAACATTTTGGCTTCTTTACTCTTAGGTGACTGAATAAATGAACACTAAGTAAGTTATATTAGTCATAGTGTAATATAAGTAGAAAGTAGAAATGAGGTATAAAGTGTTCTTAATCCTACCTTTGAGTTGTAAGATGTTACATTTCATTTCTAAAAGATCTGTCTTATCAAGATTAAAAAAATCTAAAGTACGATTATCGAAAAAAAAAATCCATTTACATCAAATCCTGATGCTATCACTGTGTTAACACATCGCAGTGAGTCATAATGCAATCTCTGCATACAGAATGAGGTAAGAGTACATCCAATCAAACACAATCCGACACAACTGAAAACAGTACGGAGAATTCACATGAGCGTGAAGCTAGCTGACGTTTGTATAAGCATGTATGAGTCTATGGGTCAAGCTTCAGATCTGACACATGTTGTGGTAGAGCACGAGCTCGTCTTCGTCCTGGATAAATACCATTAATGCTTTTTTTCTGCCGTGTTTGAAGTTCTGAAAGTCCCCTACGCAACCTCATGACCTCAAGTCTTTCTCTCACAGACAGCCTCGTTATTAAGCCTGCTGCTCTCATCTGTTGCATATGGAATTAACAAAGCATTTTATATTTGCTTATGTGGTAAAAAATGTTATGTTCAGTACTTTTTGAAGATTTAATTTAATAAAATGTGCTTATTAAAACGTTTACTTTTTAATTTTTATTATCAGTGTTCTCCATCCACTTTAATTAAACTTAATTGAATCTGTGTGTGTGTGTGTGTGTGTGTGTGTGTGTGTGTGTGTGTGTGTGTGTGTGTGATAAGGGACTGTGCAGGCATGTGATGTGTGTGTTGCATTTCAGTGGGGAGATGTCTATGATTCCTATAATCCAATAGATCTTAAACTTCAACAAAGAGGTGAACAATTATGAAAAAAAGGCTCATTTAGGAAATTTAATTATACAGTTTTTGAAAGTCTTATCTAATCTTGGATGTGATTTTGTCCTTGTCTTGATCCTGTGCTTTGTACCTCTTTGGATGGCTTCCTCAGGACGTCCCCAACACCTCCTCCACTCCTCAGGCCGTGACTCAGCACCGTGACAATGCACATGAGCAGCGAGTCACATGACCGCTCCTTGTCCTCGATCACCACCGCCGACGGCTGGATGGCAACAGTAGCTGTGGAGACACAATGATACTGTGAGATATCTGTCATTTCTTATAAAGAGAGTAAGTCTGCATGGCTATGACCAGCCAATGATGCCTTTAAACTTAATTGATAAAGGAGAGGATCCATTTATGATTAATGGGTAGACTGAACAGAAACGGCAAGTTTTGTTACTTTATAGTTATATTGATTTATGTTGTTTTTTACACCCGTGTCGAACATGCTTAAATGATTGGATTACGTTATTACTAACATTTTTAATTTCATTGTTAAAGCTGATGCAACTTTTATTCTTAATTCTTCTTCAATTTAGATATTTAACATCATAGTGACATCACTATGTAACACTTGCGCTTATATGGGCTAGTGCTTCAACACATTGTACGTGACCAATCACAACAGAGCTAACCAATCAGAGCAGACTGGGCTCTTGTTTCAGGCAGTATGAGAAAAATAAAGACCTTTTTGAACATTATAGCAAGTAAACATGTCTCAGTAGAGACACAACATACAGAAATGAACCTGCAAATGTCCATCATAGGGGCCCCTTTAAAAAGGCCCGTTACTTAATTAAAGTGCCATATATAAATATAATAATATCATTATATTTACTCTTAAACAGTTTAATCTCTTAAAAAAATAAAAACACTTAAAACCTCAAGAGTAACTAACCTAAGAAGAACAATTTATTGACAAAGAAAACATTAAAGTTCATGTTCCCAGTTAAATGTAATGTGTTACTACCCACTAAGAATTCAACTACACAAAAAAATTGAAGATTTAAGGTCCGATGCACAATCCTAACTCACTTGAACCCTAATGTCACACTGTTCTCAGACTTAAGGAGGGGGGTCTCTGGGGAAATAACATGTCTGGGAATTTCTCAACTATCCTCTAAAATACAAGTCACCAGGCTAACATGGCCTGGTGAAGCCCAGACGAGGTCGCGCCGCTGTGAGGACTCCGCATGGTTGGCTGATCGATTTCTAAGGTGCTGCATGTGCTCTTTGATTGGAGGCTTTCCCATAAAGGTCAGTCGGTTTGCAAATGTTCGTTGTTCGCTGTGAGAAGCTATGTGCGCCTTCACCGAGTGAACCCATCGACCAGCTCGTACCTGACTGCAATTAATCCCTGACCTCTGACCCCTACACCAGTCTAAAGCCCTGGTGTTTCAACCCGGCTCCCTGAAAGCCCCCAGTTGGTGCAACCGGGTTAAATCCCATGTGACCGCCCGGCTCAGGGGGACGGATCTCCTGAGTGATTGTCTGCGAGGTCATAAAGACCTACACACACACACTCCACAAGCATGAGTCATTAGACAGAGTAACACACTCGGGAATCTCCTGAGAGACATGCATGCACAAACACGTGGATTCAACCTAAAAAGAAACACACACACACACACACACACACACACACACACACACACACACACACACACACACACACACACACACACACACACACACACACACACACAC